GCCAGAAACCTAACCCAACAGTCAGAAACCTAACCCAACAGCCAGACACCTAACCCAGCACCCAGAAACCTAACCTAACACCCAGAAACCTAACCCAACAGCCAGAAACCTAACCCAACACCCAGAAACCTAACCCAGCACCCAGAAACCTAACCTAACACCCAGAAACCTAACCCAGCACCCAGAAACCTAACCCAGCACCCAGAAACCTAACCTAACACCCAGAAACCTAACCCAACAGCCAGAAACCTAACCCAACAGCCAGAAACCTAACCTAACACCCAGAAACCTAACCCAACAGCCAGAAACCTAACCCAACAGCCAGAAACCTAACCTAACACCCCGAAACCTAACCCAACAGCCAGAAACCTAACCCAACAGCAAGAAACCTAACCCAACAGCCAGAAACCTAACCTAACACCCCGAAACCTAACCCAACTGCAAGAAACCTAACCTAACACCCCGAAACCTAACCCAACAGCAAGAAACCTAACCTAACACCCCGAAACCTAACCCAACAGCCAGAAACCTAACCCAACAGCAAGAAACCTAACCCAACAGCCAGAAACCTAACCTAACACCCCGAAACCTAACCCAACAGCAAGAAACCTAACCTAACACCCCGAAACCTAACCCAACAGCCAGAAACCTAACCCAACAGCAAGAAACCTAACCCAACAGCCAGAAACCTAACCCAACAGCAAGAAACCTAACCTAACCTAATACCCCGAAACCTAACCTAATACCCAGAAACCTAACCTAATACCCAGAAACCTAACCTAATACCCAGAAATCTAACCTAACCACCAGAAACCTAACCTTTCCGCCAGAAACTTAATCAGATACCAAAGCCACGTCTCAGCTAGCTACAAAACAAGCCCGTGGTTTACCAGGGCTAGTAGTGGTTGCTGGAGCCACCGATGTTTCAAGCTAGAGATTATTAAAAGGTATATAGTTGACCAATTATATACTGAATGTTTGAATCTTATTGAATATTAACATAGGCTCCGTAGCTCTCGAAATAAATACTGAAACTACACTGGCAACGTAAATACTATCGAGCCTGTGAAACCTTAAAAAACAAAAAATACATGAATTTTTCGCAATCGAAAGCACTTGTCACTTATTAAATGTAATACGAATGTTGACCCAAATGGCCAGGAATACTTACGTAACAGGCGAGAAGATCCAGTTATTGGTGCTGGGCCACAGGTTAATCACCCTCTTGCGAGGGTGGGAATCATACAGGGCGCCCCCCATCAAGTTATTTAATTACTAACCACAATCACTACACATTAGAACATAATCCACCACTATAGTCCACTAATGGCACGCTCAGCGCGAAGTGGGACACACCCTTGAGCGTATATACACACGGATGACACGGTAAACAAGTGATACTCAGCGGTGTCCCTCCCGTGACAGGTCACCCCCGCCAGGCTGACAACTTTCACAACTGCCGCTCAAACTGTTCGACTATCACTTTCAAACTTCTCTCCCACCGTTTTCGCCTTACCTTTACATCTTTTATTCAATTAATAATTGTTATTGATTTATCTAGTAATTTTCAGGCAGTATTATGAAGGGCATATAAAAAAAATATAAATATAAATTCCCTCGCAAATGGTAACAGTTACCAAGAAGTTACAACTGCACACTTTATATATGTATATAAAACTTATGTATCCTAAATAAATAAATTATATATATATATATATATATATATATGTCGTACCTAGTAGCCAGAACTCACTTCTCAGCCTACTATGCAAGGCCTGATTTGCCGAATAAGCCTAGTTTTCATGAATTAATGTTTTTTCGACAACCTAACCTACCTAACCTAACCTAACGTTTTCGGCTACCTAACCTAACTTAACCTATAAAGATAGGTTAGGTAGGGTTGGTTAGGTTCGGTCATATATCTACGTTAATTTTAACTCCAATAAAAAAAAATTGACCTCATTCATAATGAAATGGGTAGCTTTATCATTTCATAAGAAAAAAATTAGAGAAAATATATTAATTCAGTAAAACTTGGCTTATTAGGCAAATCGGGCCTCGCATAGTAGGCTGAGAAGTGAGTTCTGGCTACTAGGTACGACATATATATATATATATATATATATATATATATATATATATATATATATATATATATATATATATATGTATATATATATATATGTATATATATATATATATATATATATATATATATATGTCGTACCTAGTAGCCAGAACTCACTTCTCAGCCTACTATTCAAGGCCCGATTTGCCTAATAAGCCAAGTTTTCCTGAATTAATATATTTACTATAATTTTTTTCTTATGAAATGATAAAGCAACCCTTTTCTCTATGTATGAGGTCAATTTTTTTTTATTGGAGTTAAAATTAACGTAGATATATGACCGAACCTAACCAACCCTACCTAACCTAACCTAACCTATATTTATAGGTAAGGTTAGGTTAGGTAGCCCAAAAAAGCTAGGTTAGGTTAGGTTAGGTAGGTTAGGTAGACGAAAAAACATTAATTCATGAAAACTTGGCTTATTAGGCAAATCGGGCCTTGAATAGTAGGCTGAGAAGTGCGTTCTGGCTATTAGGTACGACATATATATATATATATATATATATATATATATTATGTCGTACCTAGTAGCCAGAACGCACTTCTCAGCCTACTATGCAAGGCCCGATTTGCCTAATAAGCCAAGTTTTCATGAATTAATGTTTTTTCGACTACCTAACCTACCTAACCTAACCTAGCTTTTTCGGCTACCTAACCTAACCTAACCTATAAAGATAGGTTAGGTTAGGTAGGGTTGGTTACCTACCTAACCTAACCTAACCTATCTTTATAGGTTAGGTTGGGTTAGGTAGCCGAAAAAGTTAGGTTAGGTTAGGTAGGTTAGATAGTCGAAAAACAATTAATTCACGAAAACTTAGCTTATTAGGCAAATCGGGCCTTGCATAGTAGGCTGAGAAGTGAGTTCTGGCTACTAGGTACGACATATATATATATATATATACATACATACATACACACTGTATATATATCCTAGGGGTACCACCTTTCCTGCAATTGTGGGTTCCCATAGTCTCGAAGGAAATAAAGAAAAAAAAATTAGTTTAACTCTAAATACATATGAGTATTTGCTTGTCCTACTACAATTTTATATAATACACATACACGTATATACCTAATATGGGAGTTACTTCTGGTGCAATTGTAGGGACCCATAGCCTCAGAAGTACATACATACATACATTATTATTATATATATATATATATATATATATATATATATATATATATATTATATATATATATACTCTGTGTGTGTGTGTAAAAGAAAGGGGAAAGTTATAAAGAGAAGCAGAAGAGGAGAGACATGGGGGAAAAAAATAAAGCTAAGAGGTAGTGTGTGAAAGTTAGCAGATATAAGACTCTGGCACCCCCTCTGGATAACTTTCATGAGCCTTTCCCAGTACACTCTTTGCCTACTTAGTTCATCACTTAATATTTTACCATGTATATCTTTATTTCTCCTATTAGCTTTTACACCAATTGTTTTTCCCATCCTAACTCCTTTCCAACATGACATTGTATTTCTAAATCCGTTTGAATAAATTAACTTTTACTGTACGTGTTTTCCTGCTCATCACATCCATTTTATTCCAATCACACACACACCTCTTTCCCTTTCAGTATGTATGCATGCAGAGAATTCATTAATTTTGGCATTAACTGCTCTTGCCCCTTCACCATCCCTGAAGAAAATACTTCTACAAATTACTCCAAAGAAATTACTACTACTTTTACGTCTGTGCATCACCACACCTAGCCACTCTTTACATACCGTTTATATGGTATAGATTCATCTGGTCAGCCTCTTCCATAATCTCGCTCAATTCTTCTTCTGTACTCATCAGCCAACTCCTCTGATACTGGAAACTGTAATTGGCATCCACCAATAATTTGACATCTATTCCAAATTACCTCTGGGTGCACATGTGTAAAGTGAAGGAATGTTACAAAATTGTCCCAGAATTTAAACCAAAATCCACCAGAAACTTGCAGGAAGTGTATGCCACATGCCGCACCAACAGGTCCCAGGTAATCAACAATTCCCAAACTCTGAATCTATTATTCATGTTGTAGCTTCAAGGCACAAAGTTACCTAGTACAAATTGCTTGGGTTATTACATTTCTTAATGTAACAACTTTATCTTTATATAGTCATGATCTTGCCATTTATTAAAATATGTTCAACTATCTACTTTTTGTTACAACAATCACATTTTTCTTTCAGAAAATATTGAAGCCGTACAATGGGATCGAACCCCCCATCCCTGAACTTCCTTCCATTATCTGTTAGTCTGGTGACCTCAGATTCATCACTAAACCAAATACAGGTAAATTTTGTCAAAATAAATGAATGGCTACCGAATGTACAGCACATCAGAAACTGTCTAATTACTCTAAATAAAATAATAGGTCTGCAAAAATTACTGCTCATCCTTATTTTGACACTTATACATATTCAAACAGTTAAATTTCCTAGTGATTTTATTTTTACAATGTCAACTCCTCATCTACAGACATGGAGAATTGAAGAACAATACTCAAAAAAAATCCTTTCATTTATATTTTATTGTTAATATAGATGTGACTGATCCTCTGCCTTAAAACACCAAAAACTTTAACAAAACTCCAATACAAACATTGCCATTTCACATTTTTAAACTGAAAATAATGTGTCCACTACTACTAATCTACAGTAAATGTTCCTTAAACCCTTTTCTCCTATAAAGAAAAGGGTCACGAGAGGGGGGGGTCATTTTCTACTAAAGAATGAATTCTGTTCCAAGAACATTGTGTAGCTTTTCTCAACAAGAACATTTTCTATATAGACTTAGCAAAATTTAAAACAGCTCATGATGAGAATGGAACTTTATTTCATTCAAATGAAACAGCAGGTGTATCCAAACTAGTGAGCAACAAACTAAACATTTTATTTTGAAGACTATTACACTGGTATATCACACTATGTGTCTTGTTCAATGATGGCAAGCTCTTGCATCAGTGCTGCATACTTCCTTAGCTGGTGACTGAGAAGGGACAATTATTTTTATAAAACTAAACAATGACTTGGAGTATTAGTTGACATCATAATGATAAATGAGACCTGTGTACACAAGGTTATAGTTATATGAAGCTCCACAGAAAATCTAAACACTGTATTGTTGCACTTCTAGCCACCATGAAAGTCATTGCATATATTCAGGTATAGCACTTTCAACAATAATTATTTAAACCCCATTCACTTCCACAGAAAAAATGCTCTGCCTTTCAGAAATGCTTGGTATCTTTATTTTAAATTTAAACATTAAATTAGTGTGTCATATAACTGACAATACAAAACATGACACTAATGTTTAACTACTCCAACTTGAGCCGACCGAATACATCGAGAATGAAGCGTCCATCCAGTACGAATAATGTGTCCTACTGTTCCAGGTTCCTTCTCGGGCAGATGAAGCTCAAACATGGCCTCTTGCAGTGATGGGTCAAATTTCTCTCCAACGAGTGGTGTGATGGGTACCAAGCCATGGCGTCGAAAAACCTGAAAATACATTGAATTATAATCACTTATGACATTCTATGCTTTAAAAGTATTCTTTCTTTATAAAAGTATAAAAGTAAAAGATGATGTAAATTAATTTACATGTATTCATTATTAACATTAAATTTTTACCCCATAATTCTACTCTTCAATTTGCTATTATGCATTTTTCTATTATAGACCAACTTGGCAACAGTGTATTCTTGTGACATCTATCCTACTCAAGCACGAGGCATAGAACAAAAGACTAGTGAGGCAACATCACCATACAGTGTGGACTTGTATTAGCGATAAGCCTCATTGTAACTACACAGAGTTAACAAGAAAACTTTGTCCTGCAGCCCTGTTATTTCGAGAGGAACTAAAGTAGACCTCAGCCATGGCAGGCATGCATGATCAAAATACATCAACACCTCTTTCATTTTATAACATTAATTAATATATTTCTAAAGATTACCACATTTCATGATAACCCCTAATCTTGTGAAGCCATGGGAGACTGCTGTGAATAATTTTCTTTGCACGTTGGTGCTTGTTACACCATGGTAAAGCCTCGTGGAGCATCAATGGTGAATGAACAGTGGGTTAGATGCCTTCCTATCCCACTAAATTAGAAACTGAAGAAATTATCAAATAAAGTTCAGATTAGCAATGCTAGTGGTCCAACCCTCCCCCCTTCAACCACTGTCTTTTACTCTGAAATAGTGGCTATCAAAAGTGCCACTCTGTATCATAACCATATGAACACATTGCATAAAAACTAAAATACACAAATGATGATAACCACATTGGCCTGGGGATCAATATTCATCGATAACTGACCTTTATGGGTAAATTGACAGAATATTTAGCGTATAAACTACAAAAAAAACAACAGTAGCTTGTGTTTTGCCTCTCTACTCCCTTATTGTAGCAAAACAACAATCACCTCAAACAATAAAAGTATCAGATTACATAAAGCACCATCATTTTTTAAATCAATGTAACATGTAGCTATAAATATATTATGAGTGTATACATATATTGGAAGGTATACCCAATGAAGCAAGAAACTATCAAAAGAAGGCACCAAGCCAAGGAGACTATGTAGCATATACCAATTAAATGAACAAGGAATCTGTTAGCTTGAATCATCCATTAGCCAAGAGTTAGGGTGTCCAAACTATTTACCCATTCAGTAACTGACAAGATATATAGTGATAATTGATTAAAAATGGTTTGATGCAGACAAAGCAATGTTTTTTTTTATAAGTTATTGAAATATACAGTAAAGCAAAATGTTAAGAGCTTCAAACAAAGTAGTCAAATAAAGGCTCACTGTTAATAGCTGGGTTTCTGTCATCACCAGACCATCATGTAAATTTTTAAGATCAGAGTTCTCATTTTCTAACTTCTCTGCTGGAACACTCTCAATTGCTTTACGAAACACATCTGATACCTGAAATTTAAAAAAATGATATACTTACTAATACAGCACAAGATATACATAAATTTTCAATGAGGAGATGCAATGATATATTTATTAACATGAATTACTGAGAGTATGTTTTATTCTTTCATAAACATGGCAACAAAATTCAATGATGACTTACGGTAACATTCAAGCAACTCTTATTAAATGCACTTTGTACCGAAAGATAGATTACTAGATAAATGTCATCTCTTAAGCAATACACTGACAATCCTTCTGTGTTTGAGCAATATTTTTTATTTCTTTATAAAATTTATAATATGTTGAATGAGAACAAGGCAGCTGGCATTATATACATAATGGATTTTTGGATAGTATAGTTCTTCATGGATTACTACTTAATAAAACCTAGGCACTTGGTACAGACGGTTGTATCAATATGGATTCCTCAGTGCAAGCAATGTTTAATTCTAAATGGAAGTGTGTTATGTTGAATGCATGTTACAAAGTGGAGTGCCACAACGTCAGTCTTGGTCCAGTCTTTTCTTCATTTAAGTATGTACATACTGATAATGGACATGTTGTACAATATCAAAATTTGCTGTTAACGCTAAACTTGGATGCAAAGTTACAACAAAAATAGTGCGACAGATTACAAGTCAAATTTACGCCTTAGTAAATTGGGGTAATGAATGGCAGAGGAACAAATCCACAAGGGCCGTCACGATAGTGTTAATTTGATGCATCCCGCTATTGTGATTTCTGTGTGTAATGGCAGAGGAGTAATAATGCTGATAAATTTGAAGGAATGAATCAGGAATGAAAGTGAAAAGGCAAGTCACTGTATGAACTACACAGGTGTTGGAAATTAATGAAGAAAGAAACCTTGTGATAGTTAAATGATATAAAGCCAAGTAGTCCACTGAAGCTGTAAAGAAAGCCAATATTATTAGAGGCTTTGTGGAGAAAGCTTTCATTTCTATCAGAGAAGCTGTTCTCAATACACAATTCACTATTATGCCCTATATTGGAATACTGCATACAGCTTTGTTCATCATATGTGAGAAAGAATATTGCCAAATAAATTATATGAAGCCCATTTTAATCATATTTATTTAGCTTTGAAAAGAGAAGAATCAGAGGTGATTAAATAAAAATATTTAATCATCATTAAAATGAATGACAATGTTGATACAAAAAATACATTAATTTGGCCTTGTCTAATATCACTCGACATAAATGCTTCAAAATTAAGGCAAATCTTTTTATTCAAATACAGTAAACTACTTTTCTTTTAACTGAATAAGTGAGTAATTATCAAAAGGTGGTGCCAAACCAGGAAGACTGAAGCACCATCAAAGTTGCAGGATATTCAAAAGGCGCTTTCACCAAGGATACCAATATGAGAACTAAAGCATACAAGTGTGCGACATAAAAGGTATCAGATTCACCAAGGATGCTATCGAGGGACAAACGATCGCTAGGGACAGTCAGGCAGAAAAACAAAAAACAAAAAAAAACACGCACGTCCTGGAAGTCAGGACATTCAACAAGGATGTGCACGACTGTAAGAGGAACAAAACGGTTCGGACAGTAAGGAGCAGGGCATCACTCCATAAAGTGTTTGAGAGTTAAACATGTATGGCCAATATGTAACCTCACCAGAACCATTTCTCACTGCCGGTTATAGTGGTAGGAGGAAGGCCAAAGGGACAATCTATATTCAAGAGCACGCAGTTTATTACCAGCAACCGAAGACCAATGACCCTGCCAATGGGCACTGATTGACAAATGAATGACTTTGTTAACGTTTGAATAAGGAACGCTTTTGCAGGAAATAGAACAAGTGCAGATAGCCTTCATAGCAGCAGCATCCGCATGCTCATTTAAGGAAATTTAACACTTTCGCGCTCTGGGCAAGAGAGCACCACGCCATCCCAAGGTGTGCCTGGCATTCCACGGGAGCAAGCGGTAATACTGAAAAGCATATACTCTTTTCAACTTTATCTCAATTCTCGTCCAAGGTTTTTCAATTTGGTATTAATGTGTTCGCAATAGAATTCCCTACAGGAGTACATGCATATAATGTCAAAAACCGCGGCGCGCTCCACCTTCAGACAAGATGAAAGCACGCCATGGTTACCCACAAGTGTGCGCCGAGCCACCCAAGGTGTGCCTGGCATTCCATTAGTGCGCGCGGTAATAATGAAAAGTGTATACTCTTTTCAACTTTGTCATCTCAATTCTCGTCCTAGGTTTTTCAATTTGATATCAATGTGTTTGCAATAGAATTCTCTACTTGATTAAATGCATATAGTCCAAAAGCCTGGCGTACCATCTGCAACAGAGAAAGTAAGATGGTGTTACCCGGGAGTGCGCAAGAGCAATAAAATGCGTACACTCTTTTTCACTTTGGTCACCTAATTCTTGTCCTAGGTCTTTCATTTTGGTATCAATGTATTTGCAATGAAATTCCCTACAGGAGTATATGCATATAATGTCCAAAACCGCAACGCGCCCCTTCCGCAGCAAAGCCGAAAGCAGGCCAAATTTTTAAATTTTTTACACCATACTGCGTCATTACCAAACACTAGTCTACTAAATTTTTGACGCCTCATCGTTAACGAGCGAAAGTGTTAAATAAACAGTAAACATATGAAACGACTGATCAAATGATATAATTCAATATAATACAATGAATACATATGCAACAGACAAAGAAAAACACTACAGGATTTGTCCTTTTCTCGATATTCGTGTTGGTAGGCAAAAACAAAAACAAAAGAAAAACCCCGCAAGAGGACAATGTACCCAGGCGGAATAGAGCCGGCCGCTGTTATAGGTGAAAACTAGCTGTGCAGTACCCCGCGCCCCTGCCAGTGACGAAAACTACCCCCTACCCAGAGACAAACAAGGGTAAGAAAAACCCCCAGCTGACCCCAAGGGTGGCCAAGTACTGAGCAGTACACGGCACAGCGGAGGTAGACCCCCAAGGCGACCCAGGGAAGGTAGCCCTAAGCCCCAAGGGCAGTACTTACAGGGCACTTAGGGAAGATAACCCTAGGCGCATGCAGCCCGAGCACCGTGGAATAATACTCCTGGCCCACACACCACCGGAAGGGACAGCTCAGACCACCAGGAACAGAACTGCAACTGAAAACAGGAGCCAGAGGCACGACCGCACCAGATCCCATCAGCCTGAGAACTAATGGTTGGGTTGCCGACGGTGGGGTCTGGGGCTCCCCCCTTCCCCCTCCCGGGAAGGGGGGGTTGCGCAGACGGCGGCACAGCGATATGATGACATCATGAGGGCTAATTTTCGTTTGGGGAGTTCTGTCCACCTGTTTGGTCTTCGGTCGAAATAGTTTACCAGAATAGGGGTTTGTTTTGGGGCGCCTACCTTTCTGGGTGCCTGTCCCGGTCGATGGCAGACATAGAATGCTCCCAATCATAAAGGGGGTCTCTATAGGCCATTGCTCCTCGTGCCTCTCTAGATTGGGCCAGGTTCTGGCTCGTGGTCCCCGGTAGGCAAGAACTCCATGCATTGACTGATGCCAGAAAGTTATACATATCCATTCAGCCTGGATAGCTCCGGGGAGCCGACGGGGCTCCCCCCAGAAATATAACCAAAGAAAAACAAATGAACAGTTATCACAAGACAATACAATAATGTAGTCTATGTTCATAATCAATACTAATTCCATACCATACTGCAAACATGCCTTACTTAATTATCGTCTGAATTTTCTCACTTCACACGAGTTGGAAATGCACAAGCAAAACAACAAATTTTGTTAAGCTTCCATAAAACTCCAATGGCTGCTTCATCTTACAAAGGATGGTACAAGAGTCTTGTCCCTCACCTCTAAAAGGTCTTTGCAGAATCCTTGGATGCCAAACTGTTTGGCTTCAATAATCTGTTTCTCCAAACGAATTCTTACATTTTCGCGATCAGCTAAGGTTCTTTGATATTTGTCCTGAAACCAAAGAAAATACCTCAAATCATTTAAAATATACTTAGTAAAGTGTATAAAAATTTGTGTCATGAAATCAAGGCGGATACTGTACATTATGAAAGGAGTAGTAGTTAAACCCTAAAAATGTCTCAAAGGTACATGAGAAAGGTAAGTTTACAGGAACATATACAAACTAATACCGCTGACAAATGAACATGGTGAAACATCACAAACATATTTACCATGTTACAAAAGAAATTGGCAGCTATGTCATATTAATATAACTGGTTATTGCAAAATCAAAGTTGCCCACTCAACCAAGCATAACCAGGATAGATGCCTTAAGTAATGTATCGTAATAAGAAAATCTATTCAATAAATCTGAGAAAAGGGAAAATAAATAAAAGTAAATTTTTTTAATGACCAGTGTTCAAATGTATAGAGGAAGATATAGGGTGGTAATTTGTCACAAGATGACTGAAATGGGAAGAATTAAGACAGAACAGCATTCCACCCTTGAATTTTTAAGACAGCAATGGTCAGAAGATGTTGTGATGTAATTATCATCTTATCACAGAGTTAGGAGAAATTAAAAGTTCCTGAGATCAAGAACTATGGAAATTCTCTCGTTAGGGAGATTGTTGTTTTGTTGGGAGATTATTGATAAGCTTAGATGTTTGATCAGATTAATTGATCATTTGAAATGTTTCAAGAATTTTTATAATAAGTGCTATGCTAGATGTGAGAGAACTGTACTGTATTTTAGACAAGGCCAAATGAGGCTTTTGCAGTATGAACCATTATCATGTAAAATATCTTCTGAACTTGAATTGAATGCCAAGCTTTTTGGGGACACTCTTAGCACTGTTCAAATATGAGGTTTCCAGAACAAAATAGGTTTTGCATGATACTTAAAGATAAAAAAATTAATCCACTGAATGTATTGAAATGTTCCCTTCTGGGAAAGCCTCAGTGGCTTCCTGATGCTGAATTGCTGAGATAGCTTCCTATTACTAAGTAATGGTCACAGAAGTCCTCTTGGCCTATCAGGGACCCTAGCCAGAATTAGCCCCCCTCAAAGAGCACAGCGAGCAGGGGGATTGTTACGATGACCCTCATTGGAAAAGTAAGAAAGAATACAGATAATGGAATGGTTCGTGAAATGAAGCACTGAAACAGCCTACGCATACACGATTCACTTAAGATGAAATTGTTCACTTTAAACTGGGTACAAACCCCCCCCCCCCTCCAGCATGCAGAGCAGTCAACAGGTGATGTCCTGGAGCTCCTGGCCGGCGACCACACAGTCCCGAGCTGATGGACCACAAACTAATGTATCTAGCAGGATGGGAAGGAGAGACAGGGAGTCACCAGGGCTGACAAAGAAATGGGCGTTCCATTATATACAATGCTGGTTTTTTGGGAGGAGCCCTTTGGGGGGGGGGGGGTTCTCTGAAGCTAATGAACAACAAAGAAGGAAATATAAAACTTGCTCGAATGAGACCAGGATGAGTAATCAGATACCAAGCCGCCAAGACCTTGTTTGGTCTCCAAAACTCAAGCCCAAATATCAGTCATGACATTAGCAAAAATGGTAGCCACAAACTTACAAACGTCATGAGCCCAAGGGTAGATTGCAGGTTGGCTAGCTTTAATGACGACCTGGGACAAATATGCCTTGGAAATAGTGACTAAGGAAACTGGGTCAACCAACAGTTGAAGCAGAACCCTGAAGCAGAAGTGGTGGCACATAGGTACCAAAATGCCAGAAGGATCACCATGCCCGAGTACAACTCCAGCTTGGATAGTACCCGGAGATACAACTGAACTGGGGAAAAAGTGGTAGATAAACTCCCCCACATCTACCAGTCCAGCCAAAAGGCATCCACTGTGAGCGCCTCACCATTGGGGAACAGAGCCAAGCTAGAAGGAAACCGCCAATTCCAAGCTGACACGAAGAGGTCCACCTTGGGATGACCAAATGCTTCTCAGAGCCAACAGAAGGATGCATCTTTGATAGTATGCTCAAATTAACATGACACATTTTTGTTGTTGTTCCTAAATAACAATGGAATTCCAATATTGGAACAATACCAGTAAGGAATTGTTAAATTCCTTATGACTAAGGAAATAGGCCATAAGTGAGATAATGTCCACAAGAATCTTGGAGACACCCCCACACGTAAATTACACAGAACCAAACTTTGAGAAACGAGAAGCCTAGCTGCCTGAAGTGTCCAGCTCCAAGAGGTTACAACAGAAGCAACCTCTGGTAATTCAGCAAATGAACCACCAGGGAGCAGTCTGAATGGAGCCAGAGGTCAGAGCTTGGAAGATTACTTGCAAAGCTTACCACACTGCCATACACAGTACTCACATACCATGCTGTGAGCATGACAGCAAGCCTAACCATCAACCTTTAGAGGCCTAGTGCACACTGGTCACAAAGTCCCAACCCAAATCCAAGGTATCAATGAACACATTGAGCAACAGGGATGGATGGCGCCACACAACCGAACCCCCCAAAAGACCAAAGAGGAAGCTAGCGAAGCAAGCAAAAGATGACTAAGGGCGGGCTGAGGGTCAGAAGTTGATGGTTCCAGTGGTGGAGAAACAGGTGGAATTGGAAGTGCCCAGAGCAAAACCGTGAGCAAGCTCCTGCACAAACGTTCGACCAGCTGACGAGTATGCAGGTGGAGTATGAAGGAGCTGCCTTGTATGGGCCAATAGGCCTCCTGCAGTTACCTTTATTCTTATGTTCTTATGAACAGAGCTGTAGGAGGTAGAGAAAGATATGCCTATCAAGAATCTTAAATGAAGCTCAATGGAACCAATTGGGACTTCTGCCAGTTTACTAGGAACCCAAACCTGACAAGCTGGGAAAGAACCAGATCTTTGGATAGGTGACATGCAAACAGACTGAGAGCCCAAACCAGCCAGTCATTGAATATGCCAGAACTTGAACCCCCCCAAAAGCCTTATCAGTCGCAACCACCTACACTAACCTGCCAAAGATCCGAAGAGCCAGATGCAAGCTGAAGGGCAGAACCTTGAAACCATTACCAGTCCTGGAACCTTGGATGTATGAATAGGAACATGCCAGAACATGTCCTTGGGGTCTATGAACATCATCCAGGAATCTGCCTGCAAAACCAGGCTATCCTAAGCTAAGTAGTTATGTTGAAGGTTGGACCAGGAATGAAGTGGTTCAAGCCTGAGAGGTCGAGAATGTACTATAGGAGTGTACTTAAAATATAATGAAGACATTGAATGCAAAAGTTAATAAACAGCAAAATTAAAAAGTGCATACTGTGATGGTTTAGACATGGTGAATGAACGAATGATGACAGGCTGGTGAAGACAATATTTAAGAGATTTGAGGATACAGTAAGAGAGAAGCCAAAATATACGTGGGAGAATATGGAGTGTCCGAGGAAGAAAAAGTGTTGACAAAGTATGAAACATGGCAAGAAACAAAGCTGGAAGGAAGCAGTTTGAAGGGAGTAAATATACACAGTACTATAATTATACAACAATGTATATAACAATTATTAATTATAGTGTGGTGCTGCTGTGGATAACTGCTGGTGTGTGAAAGTGATTGTTCATATTATTCCACAGGGTAATATACATGGTCCACTTCTCTTCTTGTTGATGTTAATAACCTATTAAAATCCATGCAACAACTTCAGCTAATAATCTTTACTGATGAC